AGTTAATACAGTTATGAGTAGCAACACAATGATAGCTGAAGGGCAAAAGACGGATTTCGACTACTCTGAAATAGTGAATCACTATTACGAGGAATGCGGCAAACAAAAATTGTACTAACATTCTCCACCTAAAACACAGGCAGTGAGGTACAAGCATAAATGCCGTTTGCATATTAAAGAATAAGCATAGCAAGAGAAGCTAAACGCATGCCATTCACATAAATGTTTAAACTTCAGAATCAATTTGAATTCAAGTAGCCTAACGCATGCCATTCACAGAATAAGGAACAAACAGAACAAGAGAATCATTTTGCATTTTGCATTCATGGCCTTCTTATTAAGCTAAACAGTTACAGAGAACCTCAGGTTCTCAGCAATGCCTGGGTGATTATACACATTTCTCACATGGGTTTACTAAGCAAGCATCATTCTCGTCCAAGTTTTGCTTTATTTGATCTTTTGGCGCACACACCCAAACCCTGCACTAAGCTAGACCCACCAAATTTTCCTTAGTTTGTTTTGTGTTTCTTGTTTCCCAGCGCTAAACTCATTTTCCATGACGCAAAGCTAAATTTCCTTCCACAGAAGACAGACACCAAGTCAGCAAATTTTGTATTTTTTTCTTCTGCGCCATGTCGTCAGTACGAAGAGAGAAGAATATAAGGAGCGAAACAGGGAGAGGAATGGAATTGGATGAATTAAGAGTCTCATGATCTCTTCTTCTATGGACCTGACTTGTGCTTCACTGCTTCGGCTTCCCAATCTCAAGCTCAAATTTGCAGCTAAATTTTTTCAATTTCGGGTTTCAGACTTTCAGTCAATCACAGTGTTTGAAAAGTCGGCCTAGGCGGGCGCTAGGCGGCTAGGCGGATGCTAGCCGGCTAGGCGGTCGCTAGGCGGGCGCTAGGCGGCTAGGCGGATGCTAGGCGGCTAGGCGGTCGCTGGGCGCCTAGGCGGGTTGGGTCTTTTTTCAGCGCCGAACCCGGAGGACGTAGCAGTGACTGCGAGAGAAAGTTCCGTCCACTGCGAGTGCAAGCTTAGTGTTGGCTCGAATATATTTAAAGCGTATAGCCGCGCGGCTGTACTTTTAAAATATTCGAATGTAATTAAACAGTATAGCCGTGCGACTGTACGTTTATAATTTCTATTTGTATCGTCGAGCCTTGCGGCTATAATGGTAAAATATTGTATTTAAAGCTGATCGGCTAATCAGAGTTTATAGCCGCACGGCTATACTGTTATAATATCTATTTGTGCATGTATTAAAGGTGTTCATCATTCTTAAAATGCTCCAGTCCTTCAAACTTGCGAGCGAGTTCAACCTGTTCAACATGTAATAAGTGGTTAACAGTGAAACCAGAGCATAACACTCCTTACATG